ATCTTTGTTCCGTTTACCGATCTAGGTGAACACGCAATAGTTTCAAACATGCCAAGTGGTGGCGGTGGTTTTGAAACATGGATCCTTCTAAACTTGAATTATTGATTGAGCAGCAGTTGAAATTAATGCAGATGTCGACAGAGACCAAGATTTAGCCTACCTCACAGTCCAGCACATCTAATCCAACCACAACACCATCAGTACACGGAATCGCAAATTGCGTTGCCGAGTTTCATTATGATCCTGATGACAACGTTACTTTCGACATGCGGTTCCGGCGTCCGATTTGGCTAATCAAGACGCAGTTCAGATATTAAGCCAACATTTCGGTGACAACTCATCATTGTTTAGTGCGATGTTTGAAGCTAATTATGAACAAAGACGATGATTTTCTAACGCATTTGAACATCGTCAACCGTGAATGCGGACGTTTCCAGTTGAAGTTTTTGCCTGAAGACCAGTTTAAAGCCCTGATCCTCAATTGCAGGTTTTCTTCTAGATTGCAAATGGATACGACATCAGATATCACCATTCTCTCACGTAAAATTTGGAATGAAATTGGCAGCCCTAGCGTGCAGCCAACAACAAAAAAGCCTTGTTCTCCATGTGGTAATTACCTTCGCCTGTTAAGACAATTAGAATGTAAAGTTGCTTCCCGAGAATCGTCGTTTACTGGGTATATCATATAATGCCAGCTGATCTAAATTTACTTGGTTAAGATTTGTTCGACCAGCTAAAATTAGCCGGAACTCAAAACAACTGTCAGGGAACAGTGATGTCAGAATTTTCAATATCAACCTTTAAACATTTCTATTGTACTGGGCTCAAGGTTGGAAAACTACAACCACTATGGTGTATACTACTTACAACAAGGCTTATAAGAGGTATGTAGTGGATGTGTAGCAAAGAATGTTGGATCCAGACTCTTGTCGCAACCAGTGTTTGGAAGAATGGAACGCACAACGAATACGGTAATCAAGAATAGGCTTGTTTCGCAAATGGTTGTTTAATGATAAGTTGTACACACTTGCCTTGCTGACCATATGTTTCTCAAAAAATTGGCCTGATCCTTCGGGTCTTACCGCTTTCGTTCATTGCACTCCCATTACCAAAAATGTGCAGGTACTTCTGACTAACTGTTTACTCTAAAAATCTTTATTAGCAATAACTTGCTATGGCAAAGAACTCGTTTCCAAATGAAGAAGAAATTACAAAAAGACACTAGCGGTGAACAGGAGGTTGCTATATCTGTTTGATTTCCCTTTCTTCATGTTATAGACAGACACGTGTTGTAAAGTAAAGCAATAAAACTAAAATAGATTATTGACCTTTCACTGAACCTGAAAATGCGCAAGAATTTTCATCCATCAGCTGTAAATAAATTATCATCCTCAAGGCATAAGTTCAACGTACGTCACACCTTTTGATTCCGAAAGACATACTTTTCACAAAACGCCTGTTAAGAGCAGACACCTAGAGATAAATAACGAGAAGTACCAGGAAGGATGCAAATATGCCCTACTTTTTAACTCTACGGAAACTGGAGGCGTTTGCAGTATATACTAGCAACAACCCAGTCTTTTAGCGCTGTGCACACAAGTCGCACCATCTTTTTAAGTTTCACACCTAGGTCGCATCATCAACGGATCTGTTATCTCCCTTCTTTGGTAGAACATTCGTCACAGTCAGTCAATCCAAATGAGTAATTCAGTTTCCTGGGGAATATAACGTATCAGGTGTAGCAACTTGATTATGCCTATAAATTGGCTTCCCCCTCGTAACTTGCATGATTATTGAGAATAAATTTTTTTATTTCGTTTCTTCTTCGATACTTAAGTTCTTGTGTGAGTAATTGATTTATAACTTCATTGAGTTTAACGTAACAATCAACATAACTTAATTTCTTCCATTACACACAATTAGATCTTATTGGTCACTCATTCCTTTTAGTTCCGAGTTCTTCTTTGGGCATCACGAATGTGGCAGATGCAAAGTTTGTAGTTGTCACGCGTCTGCCAAGGTTCGTAATGGCGTCTGCGAACTAATTATATCAACTGTGAGTTTATGATACAATATGGACAGAAAAACTAATCTCAAAATTTGTTGTAATATCTGTAGGAATATGTTTTCATCTACCTTATATGCTGCATAATCTCACGTTGGTAGCATTTCACCTATAAACATACTCTACAAATTTTCGACCATGCCTGTAATAATGGCGTCTATCAGCTGTCATGAAAATAAATAATAACTATTTTTAGGCAAAATTTTGTAGCATGGTCGTCTTCAACACGCCGAGGTAAACCTGCCATGGCCTGGTATTGAAATGTGAAACTCAGTGTTTTTCACTGGAATTAATTTAGAGATCAATAAAGCCATTTTAAGTATACAAATGTACTTAGAAATATTGGGTTACAACAAGTGATATGTATATGGAAAATATTGAAATCAGAAAAACGAATGGAATAACAAAACTGTCAACAGAATCGTACAAATAAGACCGTCGTTATATTTATTTGTATCGGAATTGCAGATAACGGTGTCTGAAGTTCTACTAGGACAAGAACACTCCACTTAGGATGTCGAGAGAAAAAACCACGAATAGCGCCTTGAACCTGTGGATTTCTATCAGAGTTCAAGCCTGTCATAGGTAACCTTCTGGCGGATCGAAGCATCTTAAACACTCGTGAACAATACCCAAAATAATAACCTCAGCTCAATCTTGACACAAAACCTAGGTGCAGTGGTCGGAAATTAGAGACGCTATGCAAGAAAATGAACGTGAATATGCTACGGATATTCAGCGTTGGACAACTCTCTCGTTCGTAAATCTTTCTAAAGTAGAATACCCAATACCCAGTCATACCGGAAGTCAGGAATGAAGGATATCGAAGGGATATTACAAAGGTAGTTAGAATGACAACAACTGAATAATCTGAGTAAGCTGATTTTTCTGAGGGGATGTGTATCATGACGTACCAAATGGTGATCCATTGCTGATGCCTGGTTGAGCACACCGGTTAGGAGGGGATCCACCAGGACTAATGAGGTAGGCATCGAAGTAGAACACTGACAGAACTATTTATTCTGGGGATTTATTCACCGCAGCGGAATGAAGGCACACATTTAACTACTTATTAGTAGAATAAACAGAAAATTCGAACCAACTGGAGTGATTCAAGCCACTTTTCAGGAGTTCTTCAAGAGGAAACGTGACTCACAGTTACATGAAAATATTTCATAGCTCGTTAAATAAGCATAGGCTCAAACCTCGAGATATTAACGAGTCACTGTCACTGGAATCAGAAGCCTGGCTGGGGAAATCTTGTGATATTGACTCCGCAACCATTTGAACAAGTATTTTTTAAAGGATTTTAGGATCTTGATCAGTGACATTGAAAAATCACAGATTTGATCGAAACAATTGACGATTTCAAAAGCACAAACCAAAATAAATGATGTCGCCCAACCCCTTTTAATAGAAATCTGTTGAGAGAAATCTTGTTCACTTTCGTCAACGCTGCTTCCCCGCGTCATTCGATTATAATGTCGTTACTTGGGTTAGTTCTGTTCTCTATTACTTATTCCCACTTCATTCAATCGAAATTCCTTTCAAAAGTGTAAATAATTTAGCTTTACGTCATTAAAGTGTGTAATGCACGAGGTTCAGTCCTCATTCCTCATGTGATGGGCAGAAACTTTCAAACAATCAGCAAGATAACTAGAATCCAGGAGTTTACCTGTCAAAAAGTGGTTTAAATATGTTGCATGTCACAAAATATTTATAAATACAGCATTTTAAAGTTAACTGTATAGATCCGTTTCAGTGGTTTGGAGGTAAGGGTGGCAGATCAATAGATGAAGTATTGTAAATTCATCTGTTGAGGTGGTTAGGACATGTGTTTGCTAGAAATTCGGAAACTTTTAACCGCAGGATAATCTTGTTTCTGGAACTTCATTCAATGTATTTTCAGACAGCTCCCAGCCCCAATCCAGAAGGGCTCAGATGAATATGGGACCGCTTTGAGCTTAAATGTGGGTTCACGAGTCCTGGTTGCCAAGTCAACCATCCCACCGTACGGACACCGAAAAAACTGGGTACCACGCAACCAGGAGGACTTTTTAGATGGAGGGGCATTCCCAGAAATACATGTTCCTCAATATCCTCTTGGGATGGGCCAGGAGAAAAATGTGTCGAATGCCCTAGTTATGAAAACCGATAAGGATGGAAGGATCAGATATGACGAGCTTGTTCGTCAAGGGCACAGCAAGGATAGGATTATCTACTCCAAGTTTTCAGACCTACTACCCAAATCAATAGATGATGACGATCCCGAATTCAACAAACCAAGTCAAGAAACTATCGAAGAGGTAGATTTTCGTTTTCTGCTGATTTTGTTAGACGACAGAAAAAACACGTAAAGCTTTAGAATCATTGGTTGAAATGAAAGTTGCGGCTGCTGCACCTGTTCGTCGCGCTGAGAAAACAAACCCTGCTGAATACATCCGTTACACCCCATCACAACAAGGTGCTGCCTTTAATAGTGGGGCCAAACAACGCCTTGTCAGAATGGTAGAAATGCAGAAGGATCCAATGGAACCTCCTAAATTCAAGTAAGTTCTGCCGGTTAAAATTTCCATTATTTCAGAATCAACCAAAAAATCCCTCGAGGGCCCCCTTCTCCCCCACCGCCTCTGATGCATTCCCCGGCGCGAAAAGTCACAGTAAAAGAACAACAAGATTGGAAAATCCCCCCATGTATCTCAAACTGGAAAAATCCTAGGGGATACACCATACCGTTAGACAAGCGGGTTGCCGCAGATGGCCGTGGTCTTCAAACGGTTCATATTAATGAAAACTTTGCGAAACTAGCAGAGGCACTTTACACAGCAGACAGAAAAGCTCGTGAGGCCGTAGAAATGAGAGCGCAAATTGAAAGAAAAGTTGCTCAGAAAGAAAAGGAACGGAAAGAAGAACAACTTCAAAGAATAGCTCAGCAGGCTCGTGATACTCGAGCAGGTCTTCGTCGACCTGGTGCAACTGAGGGTGCAGACAATGACCCAGGGTTACTTGACCGAGAAGAATTGAGGCGTGATCGTGCACGAGACCGTGCCAGGGAAAGAAATTTAGCTCGTTCTAACACTGAAACCAAGGGTAAAATTGAGAAAGACAAAGACAGAGACATCAGTGAACAAATCGCACTCGGACTGCCTAATCCGCGATTTAACTCAACAAGCGAAAGCCTATTTGATCAAAGACTTTTCAATCAGTCAAAAGGTTTAGACTCAGGTTTCGACGGAGGTAAGTAGTCGTTCTAACTGTTCATCTTTTTAGGTGCGGATGATTTGTACAACATTTACGATAAACCATGGAAAGGTGATTCTGAATTGGCAGCTCATATATACCGCCCACGTCAAAAAGATTCTGATCTATATGGGACAGACCTAGACGCACTTAAGAAAACTAAACGCTTTGTCCCTGACCGTGAATTTTCTGGGACTGATCATTCTCGTCGTTTGGATGGTCCAGTTCAGTTTGAAAGAGACGAAGAAGATCCGTTTAATCTCAGTAAATTTTTATCGAAAGTTAAAAAGGCCGAAAAACGTCCGGGTGAAGGTACCTCAGGAACAGACATCAGTAATCGTGATACTACCCATCGCAAAAGAGATCGAAAAGACTAAACTATTTCAACTTTCATACTTTGTATATATTGTTTATGGTGAAAAAAATTGCGAAGTGTTTTCTTATTTTGTTGATAATCTGTAGTTGCAAATTATGTGAACTTATTACGCTTCCACTGAGGTTAAGATATCTCCTTGTGTATTTAAAGCTAAATAAAATTTAATTGGTTACGCTAATCGACTCGTTATATCCTGTGCAATGCTTGTTGTTGTTTTGTGTTAATAATTTATCAAGATATTGGCTTAACACAGCAGAGGTACCAATGGATGCTCTATACAAACCGTATTAAAGCAAAAAATGAGATGTACAAATGACACGCAGTTAACATAATCATGTATGATGCATTACAGAACTCTTCTTTGTCTTCTGTAAATATTCAAGTGAAATACAAATATATTGTCACACCGACTAGTCCCTATTGATGTATGACCAATGGATTGTGGTAAAAATAAATTACCGTAATTCACGCAAGGTTGGTCTTAACCGACCAAACGGTAAGGAAAATTGATCTGAGTTTTCTGTGTTATAATCCAGCTGAATTTCTTTTAGACCGTTTACTTCTGTTCATTGACTGATACACTATTTGGGTGATATCATGCTTGTTGTGTATCGTTTAGATGAGACTAGCTGCTTAAGCTTTTCAAATTTCAGATGTAAATTTCTTCGCCAACATGCGTATAAGCTTTGTTGAATTGTTTACTTGGATGCATTGAAAAGTATGTTGTGACAGGGACATCGGTCATGTATGTATTCACTTTAGTGTCTGGTTTCAGTATAACTTAAATTTAGGTTTCAGTCGCGGGAGGGCATCAAAACAACGGCCTGTCGGTTTTTCCTCTTGGCTGGGACTAGAATTGTGTAGACTCCAAAACTGGACCTTCCCATCTAGCGTCCAACTGAGTGCAGTTTGGCCATATAAATTTCTTTCATTTGCATGCATATCCCATTACTAAAGTTAAGTGGTATTTTCTTTGAAACAACAACGGTTGAGGCTATTCGTAGGACTAAACCTCGTTCACAATATCGAGAGAACTAGGTGAGAACGGGTTGAAAGTACTTTTATTCCAGGTCGCTTTTACTCTAGCGTTCAGTTCAATACTAACGTATGCAAATTTGTACACCAGTAAGTGCACGCAACTCACACACTTCTCAGTGTTTATTTTCGTCTTATAACATGGTTTAGCAAAATAATGCTGTGATGCTTGCTATATTACACAAGCACGTCCTGTTACCTACATTGCTTAACTAAAACAAGGACTGATACGGTCCATTGAACTAGTATTTCTATTAAGTAGATCATTACCTCTAGTTTTGCTGACTAATGAATAATTCGAATGCTTTCCTGAAGTTTTATAATATCTTGTCGTGATCTTTGACTGATGTTCAATGAAAACATATTCGTCTACCGTGGTCTCCTACACACTTGATATTTTTTATAACGCTAGATCCTGGGAACGAATAAGCCTTGTTTTTGAACAATGCAGTCCATGGATAATTTGAATTCTTCGAATCAGTAATAAAAATGTAGTGTTCAGTTTTAATATTTAAAAAAATAAATATGGGGCCATGCACATTTGTATTTCAAAAATACTAACGGTTAAGGCTGAACAGCCTTTAATCCTGGTTCATCCATATCTACTTCCTAATTGATCGGTCAGACAAGTACTTTATCTGAGTGGGTCAGTATCCCAGATATCCATATTCCTTTGCATAAGGGAGTTATTTCCAATATATTGTTCAAATTGAAGTTTAACTTTACCAATTACTGATGATTTAAATATCACATACCGTGATGTAATTAAGTTGTTTGTTAGTTAACATAATAAGACTTTCCCTACCACCTGAGAGTTAATCATCTGGTTTAATAGATAGATGGTCAAGTTTCTTCACTACTTCGTCGATGTCTAATCAAAGTTTCGACTTACTAGGTATTAATTATCGAAATCCAACCTAATTTCGCGCTAAAAATGCTCTTTTATCTGGAAAATTAAAAAGCTATTTTATATGGCGGAAAAAAAGCGAAAACTGGTGACAAGAGCAAATCGTTCTATTTGTTAGGAAAGAACTGGCGCTGATTGTCTAGTTGTCCGATGAGGTTGATGATGAGTACAGTTAGTACTAGGAACCTACATAGGTTAGAGAACAAGCGCTTTAAAAACTAAGGTACGAAATCTAACATATAATTAGAATCCGTCAACATTTTTGTCTCCGTTTTACCGGCCATAACGACGTTTACTGGCATGGCAGCTGCCACTTTAATAGTCATAAACCACAACAAAATCCATCCTTGTTTTGAAATCGATATCCAGTTATAACACCAGGAAGAAAAGTATCTAGAACATCCTGGAAAATATATTTTGCAATCACGAATGTCAATCATTGAAATATTTATGTAGATAATTGAAGGAATATGTGAGCTGTGCTATGAAAATGATTTAGTCAGTACAATTATGTTATCATTTAACATAATAGTAACAATAAATCGTGTACTACATCAGAAAGAAGTCAATAATGATGCTTCCGATCCACACACGTTACGAATTGATAAAAACACAACATATATTGTAAAATAACCGGGAAAGTTCAGCAGTCTCTTACGAATTGTTATAATTGGTGAAAAGTCAATAGTTCTAAATAAGCTTAAGGAATGGGAGAACAGAAAATATGACCGAACAAGTAAGAAAAAGAAGGAGATCATTCCTTCGCTCCATTTTTCTAGTTCAAAAACGAAACAAAGGAAAAAGCGGTGTTCCACTGTGTAGGAAAAACGAAAGCTATTTTATCACTGAATAATCAATGTGAGGTAATGTAAAAAGAAAAATGATTAGCATCAAATGTAAAGTTATGTATAAGTTTTTTCATCACTCTTCGTTATGTTGTTGATACAAGCACATAACAATAATGAAAGACTTTGGTGCGTATAACAGTGTATGTATATATTCATTGATTAGTGAATTGGTGGTAGCAGTTGTAGGGGGAATTTTAATGATAATAAAGTAGATAGATAAGCTTTTGAAATACATTTATTTACATGTTATACGGAAGGCAGATTTGAAATTTGTAGATCGCTCTACTCGTTGAATCTTCAGTGGAAGTTTTTCAAGATCTATCGTTGACCAACTGCTAGTGGCAGATACGCGTACCCATGTAAAGAATGTATTTGGACAGAACAAAATGAAAAAAAGGTTGAAAGTATTATGTGCAGTTATTTGCAAAAGGGTTGATGCATACACACATGTTGACAAGACATTCTCATAAACACATTACTTTATGGCTAAGGTTATAATCCTGAAAAAAGATATTTGAAACTGGGCTGCCTTAGAGAACTTTCTGAGACTTCTCTAAGGACTGAGGGTTTCTGTTCTAATATTAAAAAGGATTAAACATATACGCCGATGAAGGCCTGGGAAATAAAGTGTATTACTTGCTAGTTTTTTCCACGAATTACTCATCACATCAAACAATCATGAATGTTGATAATGGGATCAACGTTCACACTCTCAGACGGGAAAATGATGCATCTCTCTTTTCAATGAAGTTATAATCAAGGAGATTACACTACAAGCAATTTGTTGTCGTATATAATCCTTTTAATACTGTTGAATAATAAATTTTATTTACCTAAGTTCGCAAGGTAATAACAATCAAATTCAATTTTCAAGAAATAAACTAGTCATTCACATTTACTGCAGGCTAGAAATCCTGTTACGTGAGTAGATTGATGAGTCGACAGACAGATAAATTTTGGACGTGCATTAAGTTAAATTAAATTTATTGAACAAAAACGAGATGAAGTATTTGTGTATAATAATCACACTCTAGTTAGAATTATAACGACTTGTATCCCTTGTAGGTCAAGGTATTGCAATCCTAAAATTACTAGATAAATATATTGTTATTGATGGAATAAGCTATCTTTAATGAATGTGTGCCAAAAAGTAAAATTGACTTATCTTCAAACCGTACCTATATGAGCTAAGAGTGTTACATGCTACTCAGAATGATATAATCCAATATGATTAGGCTTGGGTTCGGTCTCTGTGTGCGGGGTCGTGATGTGCGCTACTGAGGAGTACGATACGAGAACGAAACGGCCATCCAGTAATTTAAGGTCTTGATGATGGTCTTGCATTGATAGGTTCATGATTGTAATGAAACTGAACAATCCTCACAACTCTATATTGGTAGGAATACGTTGATTTCATTTCCTTATGGAGTCGTATCTAACGGTGTTAATGTCTAACTTGATCAATTCACGGAGTTGCGCAACCTCATACACAGTCTTCGGTAGACACTGTCTACATCCGAACAGGTTGAACTTCACTGGTCACGTCTTCCCACTAGAACTCGGAGAAGACTCCTCACGTAGCTAGTCACTAGTGAGCACAGGTAATTTGCATTACGGGGTTGTGAAGATTGTTAAGTTACACATTTTTGAAACCATGAATCGATCAATGTTAGACCACACGAGGAGTCCCATACCAGGACGAAACGGCCGTCCAGTGCTCCCAGGTTTCTAATGGTGGTCTAACATTGATCGATTCATGGTTTCAAAAATGAGTAAATTACTAATGTGACGAGGTTCTTATGATAATTCCATGCTTTAAAACTATACTCTTCATTTGTATTTTGAATTACATTTTAAATTTATTCATATTTAATAATTATTAAAATGATATGACAAATGAACAGTTTACCTCTACTTCAGCTGATAACTGATAATTATCTCTTCTTAATTGAGCTAATCGTTGTCGTTCATTGGTTAATGAGGTTTCTAATTCAATAATTTTCACTTGTAGTTCAACTTGCTTTCGTTTAGCTTGAGTTAATGTAAGACTACTAAAATCGAGTTCTATAAGTGTTTTTAACAGATAAAAAAAAATTTACATGAATGTCTAAGAAGAAAACTACGTTTAATATGAAAAAGACTTTCAACAGAATGTCCACCATCCTAATTGACAGTAATCTATTGAATGAGGTCGAGAACTGTAATCACCATTACAACCAGCAAACCGTCATGGATGCTGGAACCGAAGAAGTCGTTTAGTCATCAGAGCTAATGTTAGATAATCATATATGGTTAAAAAAATTACTGAATGCTTACTAACATGTTTTCATATCATACTTTAAAATATTATCACAAAAACGTGCCATTTTTACATTTTATCAGAATAATTACCTGATAGTGCGTACTTATGACAAATTTTGAAATCGTACAAAATAGAAAATTCATCATATAACGGTTTCTAGTAATAATAAAATCATCATAGTTTGTTTAGCTCATATCCCGATGAGTAGAAATTCGTATTTCTGACATTCCGCAAATTAATGCAAGTAACTTCTTCAGTGCAATCAAAATCATAATGACTCTGAACATGTCAATGTCATGTGATTTTGCGGTCGAGGTGATTGATTCTGTTAGAGACGTTCAAGTGTTATTTAGGTATGTGAAGGAGGGGTAAGAAAGAATATGTAATTTGTGATATGAAGTAGTGGAGTTAAAAATAATACGAAATTGTGTCAGTGTCTGTGTAGAATTGTGTAGATAATGAATTGAGTCAAATGTGGTTATTGAGATAAACTGTGTAGGTTGGATGAATAGTCAGAACTTCTTTCCTATTGAAGACAGTGGGATTAAGCATCAAATGAAATGCTTCAGCTACTCGTCTCTCCGAGTAGTTGGGAAAACCTTCTCGCATTATTTTGATGTTTCTAATATCGATTTGGTGGTGATTGAATATAGCATTCACTGCTATTGTCGATTTCATTTGTAAATTTTCCAACTCTTCTGGATTATCAGAAAGTACTGTTGTGCAACCTAAGTGCTCTTTGACACAACTCAAGATTTCATGAGAAGACTCTCCAATACAGAACACATCAAAATCGACCCGACCTAGTTTGTAGATACATTTTTGTGTGGATGTAAAATGTATTGTGTCTTTGCTGCCAAGTGACTCGCATTAAGTCACAAAATGTCAGAAATACAAATTTCTACTCTTTAGGAAATCAGCGAGAAGAAAAATTCATGATAATTATTTTATGATTAACTTTTTCTATCCAATACTCAATTTATTTGAAATTATCAAATCCAACTTTGGTATTGATACCTACAAACTCATTATTAATCCAATCACATTATCCATCTGCACATGTATTTTATACAATCATCGGATATATAATAAACATTTTTTTAAAGAATAACATGATTTCCAAGTCTCTGATTGTTAAGCGACTAGAAGGTTCGTGGCGCGCTATTGATATTTCTCATTGTACATTAGGTATCTTACAACACGAACGAATTCATAAATGTACATTCACTTTCAAAAAACATCATGGATGCGTCAATAATGTAGATGGGCTAGTCATCATCATTTACTTCCATCCTCGACTTTTTACAACCAAAGAGAGTTTCATCATCGTAATTCTTCAAAACCGAGACAAATGAAGAAATTTTAAAATAGTCAAAGAGAGAAGACCAGAAAATGAATCGTCACGAAGGAGATCTACTCTTATTGTTCTCAAGGTGGTTGATGATCTTCCAAAGTGGCCTCTAACTGCTGCTGAAATCGCTCTACTGGAAAGAGAAACCCTCTTAGTACTCTACAAATGAGCTCA